CTTTATCTTTCGTTGCCTTGTTCTCAAAACAGGCGCCCCGAGACGCCTTAATGTATGCCATGTTTTATTTTCGAGATACAACAAAATACAACAATTTTATGTAACACATTTTTAGAGCTTTCCAAAAATATTGTTCCCCCACATTCACTGTATACTCTTGGAGAATACTTTGAACGATTTTGGGTAAGCGAAATATTTCTTAAATTTGAATTTATGGATATATTTACAGTTCTGCCCCAAAGAGGAAAACAAGGATCGATTCATGGAATATTTTTCTTAAATTATTGTACTTCAAAGACCACAAATACATAAATTTTTTCCATCTACCAGCTCCTTAGAAATAAATGAAAATATTCTCAGTTTTTCATGCTCCATTAGTCACGTGTGTGTGGGTGAAGGTTGCCTTGGGGGCAACCGCAGCAGCAAAATGTGTATCTGAGAGGTAGGGAAAGATCAGCCAGAGGCAAGATCTCGATCTCGCATTACATAACCACAGTCGAGCGGCATTGTTTGTGAACCCACCGCCATAAATAGGCCTACCCGATGGATGCGAATTATCGCAAATCAATGAGCCATTAAGATACAATTGAACTGTGGGCAGGAGGCAAGACGGCGACGACGACGACGGCGACGACCTTACCCCTAAGATGACTTTCTCAATAGGCAATAGAACCCAAGTATGACTAGAAAAAGATACGAAATCCGCTAGAGAGCTAGCCGGTTAACAGGCAGCCACTGTTAAGCCTTTAACAGCCGACTGTTAAACGCCAACGCATTAGCCAGAGGCGACGAAAAATTCGAAACGAAAAGCGAACGTTGCCGACGACGGCTCACAGTTTCTGTTCGACAGCCCTCGAGTGCGGTTCAAGTTTTACCTCCAGCCAATTCAGCTTATAAGTCTACCTATCAATCTTTCTGCGAACCAAGCGAATTGTAATTATAATACCCAAACCGTACGAGTATTCATATAAGAAACAACCGTCACTCCAAGCCGCCTGTCACTTGAACTCAATCAACGAATCGAACGAATCAACGAAATAATAAATCAACAACAAAACCATCTCTTCGAGTGTCTGTGTCACAGTGCGGTGTGTGTTTTTCTCGTCTTCCGCAACGAACAGATGGTTGGAAAATCCTAACAAAATCACGACTTATCCTCGAAAGGACTGTCTGCCATAAGAGCTGCTAGCCGCAGGCTAACGTGAAGTTTTTTATTGTGCAAAAGAAAGTTGGAAGAAGGCAGGAGTACTCCGCGACAGACAGACAGCCTACTCGTATTTTGTGGTAAGGATAATACAGAAGTAGGCGTTAGCCAGGCCTCAACCTCAACCTCAGCCATAACCGTTGCGTGTTGACCTGAAAGTTCATTGACTGACGCGATTGCAGGTGCAGGCTGGTTGTCTGTGTTGTCTGACTATTGGCATTTCCTGGTGCGACAGGGCCTGCTCCTCCCATTGTTTTGTCAATGCTGGGGACCTCCCCTATCGGTGTCACTTGTTGGCATAGATGTAACCTCCTCGGGGGCAGGTTCTTTACTGTTTTTGGTACCCTGTAGAGCTGTTCGAGCCATGACATCAGCTCTAATAACCGGTCGACGCGTCGACCCAACTCAACTTAACTCATTTTTCAAATTCAGTGATTATGAGAACTGGCGATCCCACAAAAAACTGTAAACAAAAAATAAAACACAATATCCCCGAGAGAGAGGGAGAAAGAAATTGCACAAAGAAAAAAGGAAATCACAGAATAAATATTTATAAAATGATATAACACGTACAATGCATATTTCATATGCAAATATTGGCCGGTGATCTCAAGTGGTTACTCCGCTGGCATATGATCATAAATCATTGGAGCGGAAACAGCTGTCCCATAAACCTTACAAAATGTAATTATTACAACCATTTCGAGATTGAACGATTAATAGGGCCACCAGCCTTCGAGCATCGGATTCTAGTTGAGAGCTTGCCAAATGTTTCCCTCAACAATTTCCCAGCTTTCTCTTTTTGGGCTCTTGGCCTGGTCTGTGGTGTGGTGTGGTGTGGTGTGGCAATTGGAGAACCAAAACACGTTTGGAGTAACTTAATTAGATTTGGAGATCTAACAAACTAGTCCATTCCGCCAGCTGACGTCAGATTCCGTGCGCTTTTATCAGCATTTGAGTGTTGCTTCGGATCGGTTCTGTTCTGTTCTGTTCTTTCTGTTTTGGCTCTGAATTTGATTGGGTTGTTTTGCTCTCTTTTTCAGTGTTTGGCCTTTTGCCGGCTGTTCACTTGCTTTATGTTTTGTCTGTTTTTGGACGGGGCAATTGCTCAACTTGTTCGCTCTTAATTAAACTTATATTGTTTAAGGCGAAAAAAGACAAACTCCCAACGTAATAGAGACAAAATGTGAGTTATGTTCAAATGGCGGAGTCATGGAGTTGTCGGATGGATGGATGAATGGATGGATGGTGTGGGCTGCTGTCTGGAAACCCAATTCCGAACTGGCTTTTTCGGACAACTCAATGTGGGCTAAAGGAAACGACAGTCAGCCAGCAGCAGCAGCAGCAAACGACGGCTGCCCGCCGTATTTGGGCGTAAAAGTCTCTGGGATAGACGTCCGAAAATGTCTAAACTTTGGGAAATGAGCTCATGTCTAATTCGCCATTTGGAGAGCAGCGCAAAATGAAGCCCAAAATGAACAGCAGTATAGTCGCATAAAGAGTGATTGTTGATGATGTTCGGATACCCTATAGAAGGTGGGCTTGGAGCGGGTATATACGGCTGTAGTCATGATAATAGTAGCTTTCACAAGAACCATATACTGTCAATCTTTTCTCACAGCATATACAATATGTACTGTGTATTTTGTTATTGGATTCTTGGGACCTAAACAGACCGACTAAGTTGCCCAGACACGATGCCGAGTAGTCCGCCGAAGTCAGAGGCGAAGATACTGAATTGAAACTCCGTTCGCGCCCTCTGTCTCCGAAGCATCTCCGAAAACCTCTCCATACAAGGGCTTTTTGGTGGCTCATGCTATCTTAATAGATAATACACTTTATTCACTGTTTTAGGGTATCAAAACAAAAACACTTAACCTTTTTGGCCAACTCTAAAGAAGATATACCATCTGTTCGCTAATAATGAAGATCTTTTCTGTTCCCTCTGTTTCAACATCTTAAAAGCGAAGATATTCTATCAAAATATCTGATGATTCTTTTCCCAAGTGAGAACCAAGGTATTAGAGAGTCGATTTCCAAACAAAGCTTGCGTGTTTATTTATATTTTAGAAGTTGATATCATAAATTAAGGCTGACGTGTGCTAAATCTATAGGATCGTTGGTGTTTGTTGTCGTTACGGGTCCACGGCTGGGGTCAATTTGTGTGCATATCAATTTAAATCAAATAAAAAAGTAAACGTACAAATGAAAATAAATGGAAATCACAGAAGGTCACTGGGGAGATAACAGAATACGAGAGCAATCGAATGAGTACAATCTACAATACTACATATATCTGGTCTGGCAAGTCTCAGAGAGATAGAGATAGAGAGAGAGCGTCCCCCAGTGTGTGTGGGTGTTACTGTTTCTCCTTGCCAGCCGGTTTTGCTGTATGTTCAGATGACCCCTGCTGCACCTTGCATAGATTATCGAGCATCACCATCTCTATAATTTGATTACTGAAATCTGATCGCTGCCATGCAAATTCATAGCATGTGCTGACGCTCTATTAACTTGATTAAGTGCGACCTCTCCGCCGCGCCGCCTTTGGCCGAGAAGTTCGAGACTAACAGTCCGTAGGCAGGCAATGGAAAATGTCTGACAGATGTCTGACTTCTGTTCAGGTCTGGCCTGCTGCTGCTGCTGCTGCCTCTGATTCATCCAAGAGATTTAGCGAGTGATCTTGGCCCCGAAGCCAGCAGCAATTGAATAAACAGTTTTCGTGTGTGGGTTCCATCCACAATGATGTAAGAATCGCCGCCTTATAAGCCCGACCCGACTTTTTTTGTGTGTGTTTCTGCGGCAATTGCATGCGCGAGGTCGGGGCCAAGTGGCAAAAAAGCAAAGAGTAACAAGTGCAGGACGCTCTTTCCCCTCTTTCTCGACGGCTTTATTGGCCCTGTTAACAGCTCCGACACGCCCCCTCCTAGCGTACATACATCTATACAAAGTTGTAATTATTTACGTAGCAAAAGGCACCAATTTCACGGCCACTACGAGTTGCACGCTTTTCTTTGGAGGAGTTTTGGGCTCTAGCTTTGGGTTTATGTTTTTGTTTTTGTTTTGTGTTCCATCCCGTCCGTCATGCAATTGTCGGCCATAAGTCATTAAAAGTAATCGTTTTGTTGGCTCACATTTACATGCCCCCCCACAAAATGGGCAGCATTAGCACTTGGCATAGTTCTTGGCCAAAAAAGGAGGAAAGAAAGAACCTTGTTGTCCAGAAATCACTGCAGAATGGTAGGGACTTAACGCTGCACTTGATACCCAAACGAAGTATCGATTACACTACCCAGATGGATGGATAAGCGGAGCCCAGGCCCAGATCCTGATACCAACAGGCACCGGGTCTCGGCTGTCGATTGGCAACACTTTTGGGGGCGCTCTGAAAGAAAGAAGGTCGTCACCCAGGGCAGCCAAAGCGAAGCGACGACGAGCCTACCGCACAGTTATTGCTATTGTTTGCTGTTTGCTGTTTGCTGTTGTCTTTCACGCGGGCCAACAAATCCAACAAAGTGACAGCCGCCACACGCCACACACGCCCTTACACAAACGCCTTGTCATTAGCCTGGCTGGCGGCTCCTTCTCCTACTCATGGCCCAGAAAATTCGAAACAAAACGAAGCCCAAAAGGGGTATGGCCGATTGATTTTTGTGTCATCAGCTGATGGGCTGGGGCAGGACGTAGGACGTTGGAATTTAGATTATTAGGTTACCCAAATTTAGGGGTCGAACTATACATTTCACATGTGAAAGTTTGCTCCGGAACTTGAGTCAAATTCGAGTCGTTATAGTCGTATAGTCGTTGAAACAATTTCCCACCTCAAAACTTTGTAATTCTCTGAACACCAGCAGCACCCAGCACCATGGCGATGAAGGTCCTGCCCGCCCCCTCCCAACAAAATTTAATAATTGAACATGGTCTAAACGATGGAAATTTTGTTGCTTTTCTTTCGGCAGGGTGAATCGTTCGCCAGCAAGAAGGAGGTCGATCCGGGACCCTGTGCCCCACTGCGGAACATCCGAACACTGAATATGGGCGGCAACATTGAGCAACGTCCCTGGACGCCGACAGTGCGTACGGGCAGGATTGCCGCAGAGACAGCCACCCCGGGACCGGCCATTGTCCAACTTCCCACATTGATTGGTGAGTCTCTCTCAGAGAGAAGGTGGACGGTATTGTAAAGAAGATCTACTTTCAGGCAGCAAAGTCCCTGATTCGAAGAAGAAGGGCGCTCCTTCGTACTCCTTTGGCCACAAGTTGGGCAGCAAGTACGAGACCTTTGGCCCGGGACCGGCCCAATATAATGTGACGGGTCTGCGGGCCAAGGGCAAGGATTACCCCCGCGCTGCCACCCTACAGAGTCGTCCCAAGGAGCTCTCTCGCTTCTCGAATCCCGGACCCGGCGAATACAATGTCCAGCCGGCGGCCAAGGCAGTGATCGATGCCACGCCCATGTACACGTTCGGCCAGAAGCCGCCCGATGCCAAATTCAGCCTGATTCCGGGTAAGTGTCGGTCTTCCGCGCTCCGTTCTGGTGTTCTGGTGTACTTTTTTGAATGGTGGTTTTGGACATATGACATATGGATGTAACGGGTTGTTGTACTGCATGCGGATGATCATCAATCAATCAATCAATCAATCAATCGATCATGGAGCGAACTGCATTACTGTATATACTAATGATCATTGCATTTCAAGAATGAGGAATCCTGAAAACTTTCATCTTCATTCAAGCAGCGCGTAAGTTGCTCTCACTCTCTCTCTCTTTTGCTCTTGCTCCCCGTCTCTTTCTATCCACTCAGTAGTTAAATGTAGTTTTAGCTGCTCTCTCTCTCTCCCTCATTCTCTGGTAGATCCCTTTTCTATAGCTCGTAGCTACGACACTCTCCTGTACGTATGTCGCCTTTTGTTTGTGTTTTTTCTGTGTTTTTGTTTGATTTTGATTTGATTTTAATTTGAAACGTTTTTCTCTTTCAACGAATGATGATGATTGCCATCGAATCGACAATAAACGACCACAAATATATAATACATATGATATATATAGGTCCCAACCATTATCAAGTGGTGCCACTTGAGGTCACCAAGCGGCGTGCACCGCGCTATTCCTTTCGCATTAAGGTTAACGTTTACATTGTTAACAATCCAGGTAACACAACTAATCGAATCCACCCAACACCCAGCCCCCAACCCCAGCCCCCACCCCCATCTCTTGCTCTTTCTGTGTGTGTGTGTGCTGGTGCTGGTATAACCCCCCGATCTATATCTCCACTCACCCTTAGTCCTTAGCTCTCACACCCTTAGATGTAGATACTACTACTACTACTACTAGTTTGATTGAGTTATGTACCCGTACAACGTTTATGTTTATGTTTTATTAACACCTAACAGCTCCGAATAGCTATTGCCCTGAAAGGGTCACACAATCAAAAAAGAATGCGCCACGCTACACATTCGGTAGACGAACTAAAATCCAACACGATCAGGTCACACCAGGTAATACTCCACCCCCCCAACCCCAGCTAACCCCCCACCGAGTGATTCGAATTGGAAAAGTAGCCCGTACCACGTATCTAGTTTCTTGAATATTTGTCTCCTGTAGCACCTTCTTTTGTAACTAGAGTAATCGTTGAATGTATGACATGTGTTGTGTCTGTACCCCACAGCTCCTGGCGCCTATTGCCCCGAAAAGGTGAATCCCCACAAGACGCCAGAGTTTAGTTTCGGCATCAAGCACCACGAACAGAAGCCCGACTACACGCCAGGTTTGTCCCCATTACCACATTCCATTCACACCATAGACCATAGAAGTAGCTGCTTCCACGATTTATATACCATTCTGCACTGATTATAGCCCCAGGCTGTTACAAGCCCGAGCATTTCGGCCAAGAGCACACGCCCTCGTACAGTTTTGGCCTGAAGACCAGGCACACTCTGGTCAGTGATACACCAGGTAAGGGCCTAAGGGCTAAGTGCTTGGCCTTTTAGTAGATCGCAAGTTTAATTGTTGTTACGTTTGGAACCAGCACCCGGGGCCTATAGTCCCGAAAAGTCCAGGCTACACAGTACACCCGCTTACACGATCACTGGCAAGGCCACGCATGACGTAGTCGATGCCACACCCGGTGAGTAGAGCCTCCATCCGCCCTCCATGCACCTTGCACCTTGACCGCGACGACACACGATCTCACACGAAACCTCCCCTTTTTTCGTTGTCTTTCAGCGCCCGGCGCATACGAACCCGAGAAGTGCGTGTTGAACAAGACGACAGGCTTCACGTTCGGCCATCGCGTGAACCTGGCCAAGGCCAGCGATACACCCGCACCGGGCACCTATCAGCCGGAGAATGTGCGTCTGGATCACACGCCCTCGTACACCATGTCAGGGCGGCACGAGCTCAAGTCGGTGAGCGAGACTCCGGCCCCCGGTTCGTATGCACCGGAGAAGTATCGCGGCGATCGTACGCCGGCCTTCACCTTCGGCGGTAAGCACGAGCAGAAGCTCGACAGCTCCACCACTCCGGCACCAGGCGACTACTGTCCCGAAAAATTACGGCACGATCACACTCCAGCTTACTCATTCGCCGGTCGCCACAATCTTCAAAAACCCAGTGATACACCAGCACCTGGAGCATACGCTCCCGAGAAAGTCCGACAAGACCACAATCCCTCATTCTCCATGGCAGGCAAGCACATTCAGAAGATTACCAACGGAACCCCCGCTCCCGGTGACTATTGTCCCGAGAAAACTCGTCTAGACAATACTCCTGCTTATAGTTTTGGCGGAAGGAACGATCCTAAAGTGGAGAACAACACTCCCGCCCCCGGAGACTACCATCCAGAGAAGGTTAGGCAGGACCATAATCCTTCTTTCTCATTCGCGGGTCGTCACGATCTGCACAAACCGAGTGATACTCCCGCTCCTGGAGCTTATTCTCCTGAAAAGAACCGACAAGACCATAACCCCGCTTTTTCCATGGCTGGGAAACACACACAAAAGATCTCCAGTGACACCCCCGCTCCTGGCGACTACTACCCTGAGAAAACCCGTACGGACAGCGCTCCTTCTTATAGCTTTGGCGGCAGGAACGATCCCAAAGTAGAGAACAATACCCCTGCTCCAGGGGACTATCACCCTGAGAATGTTAGACAAGATCACAACCCGGCCTTTTCTTTCGCCGGTCGTCACGATCTTCAGAAACCAAGTGATACTCCTGCCCCTGGGGCTTACTCTCCGGAAAAACATAGACAAGACCACAATCCCTCATTCTCCATGGCAGGCAAGCACATCGAAAAGATTACCAATGGAACCCCCGCTCCTGGTGACTATTGTCCCGAGAAAACTCGCCTTGACAATACTCCTGCTTACAGTTTTGGTGGCAGGAACGATCCTAAGGTGGAGAACAATACTCCCGCCCCGGGAGACTACCATCCAGAGAATGTTAGACAAGATCACAATCCTTCCTTTTCCTTCGCTGGTCGCCACGACCTCCATAAGCCAAGTGATACTCCCGCTCCTGGAGCTTATTCTCCTGAAAAGAACCGACAAGACCATAACCCCGCTTTTTCCATGGCTGGGAAACACACACAAAAGATCTCCAGTGACACCCCCGCTCCTGGCGACTACTACCCTGAGAAAACCCGTACGGACAGCGCTCCTTCTTATAGCTTTGGCGGCAGGAACGATCCCAAAGTAGAGAACAATACCCCTGCTCCAGGGGACTATCACCCCGAGAATGTTAGACAAGATCACAACCCGGCATTTTCTTTCGCCGGTCGCCACAATCTTCAAAAACCCAGTGATACACCAGCACCTGGAGCATACGCTCCCGAGAAAGTCCGACAAGACCACAATCCCTCATTCTCCATGGCAGGCAAGCACACTCAGAAGATTACCAACGGAACCCCCGCTCCCGGTGACTATTGTCCCGAGAAAACTCGTCTAGACAATACTCCTGCTTATAGTTTTGGTGGAAGGAACGATCCTAAAGTGGAGAACAACACTCCCGCCCCCGGAGACTACCATCCAGAGAAGGTTAGGCAGGACCATAATCCTTCTTTCTCATTCGCTGGTCGTCACGATCTGCACAAACCGAGTGATACTCCCGCTCCTGGAGCTTATTCTCCGGAAAAGAACCGACAAGACCATAACCCCGCTTTTTCTATGGCTGGAAAACACGCTCAAAAGATCTCCAGTGACACCCCCGCTCCTGGCGACTACTACCCTGAGAAATCCCGTACGGACAGCGCTCCTTCTTATAGCTTTGGCGGCAGGAACGATCCTAAAGTGGAGAACAATACCCCTGCTCCTGGGGATTATCATCCAGAGAAAGTTAGACAAGATCACAATCCTTCCTTCTCCCTTGCTGGTCGCCACGACCTCCATAAGCCAAGTGATACTCCCGCTCCTGGAGCTTATTCTCCCGAAAAGAACCGACAAGATCATAACCCCGCTTTTTCCATGGGTGGGAAACACACTCAAAAGATCTCCAGTGACACCCCCGCTCCTGGCGACTACTACCCTGAGAAATCCCGTACGGACAGCGCTCCTTCTTATAGCTTTGGCGGCAGGAACGATCCCAAAGTAGAGAACAATACCCCTGCTCCAGGGGACTATCACCCCGAGAATGTTAGACAAGATCACAACCCGGCATTTTCTTTCGCCGGTCGTCACGATCTTCAGAAACCAAGTGATACTCCTGCCCCTGGGGCTTACTCTCCCGAAAAACATAGACAAGATCACAATCCATCCTTTTCCATGGCAGGCAAGCACATCCAAAAGATTACCAATGGAACCCCCGCTCCTGGTGACTATTGTCCCGAGAAAACTCGCCTAGACAATCCTCCTGCTTACAGTTTTGGTGGCAGGAACGATCCAAAGGTGGAGAACAACACTCCCGCCCCGGGAGACTACCATCCAGAGAATGTTAGACAAGATCACAATCCTTCCTTTTCCTTCGCTGGTCGCCACGACCTCCATAAGCCAAGTGATACTCCCGCTCCTGGAGCTTATTCTCCGGAAAAGAACCGACAAGACCATAACCCGGCTTTTTCCATGGCTGGGAAACACACTCAAAAGATCTCCAGTGACACCCCCGCTCCTGGCGACTATTACCCTGAGAAAACCCGTACGGACAGCGCTCCTTCTTATAGTTTTGGGGGCAGGAACGTTCCTAAAGTGGAGAACAACACTCCCGCCCCGGGAGACTACCATCCAGAGAAGGTTAGGCAGGATCATAGTCCTTCCTTCTCCTTCGCTGGTCGCCACGATCTGCAAAAACCGAGTGATACTCCCGCTCCTGGAGCATACTCTCCTGAGAAGGTGCGGCAGGATTACAATCCATCCTACACGTTTGCCGGCAAGCACGATCCGCATGCCACGTCCGAGACACCCGCTCCCGGAGATTACTGCCCTGAAAAGGTGCGACTAGACCACACACCCGCTTACAGCTTTGGTGGCAAATACGACCCCAAGGCGGAGAATCATCATCCTGCGCCATGCGACTACGCCCCCGAGAGAGTACGCCTCGACCATACACCCGCCTACACAATTGCAGGTCGTCCGACCATCGAGCATGTGACGCACACGCCGGCGCCCTGCGACTACTTTCCGGAGCACTGTCACCCGGACTCCACGCCGGCCTTCACCTTTGGCATGAGGCTGAATCGGGAGCGCATCAGCGACACACCAGGCAAGTGCCACACTCTTACCCCTCTCCCTCCCTCCCCCGTTGCTCCTCAAGAGCCAACACAACAATTCATGCGTGCCCCTTACAGCACCCTCTGCCTACGAGCCGGAGAAACACACCGCACAGCATGCACCAGCCTACACCTTCGGCTCGAAGTCCGAGATCAAGGTCACCACCGATGCACCAGGTAAACCACTAGGGTACTAGGATACACCAGTCTTAAGTCACCTCTTGCATGTCTCCCTCCCTTGCCTGCTTTCCATTCCGCTCTCTAGCCCCTGGAACCTATCATCCGGAGCACTCCCGATTCGACAGTTCGCCGTCGTACAGCTTTGGCCTGAAGACCCTGCCCATGCCATCCCTGCCAGGTAGGTCCCGCTTTCACATAGCTCTGGGCTGGTGTTCGGTACATCGGTTGTTGCTGATATTCTGTACAATGCTATTTCTGTGTGTTTGCTTTCTGTTCCATGTTTGCCTTACACACACACCTCTTGGTTCTGGCCATGCTCCTTCCATCATCTGTATCCCCTCTGCACATCTGTATCTGTAAATATTCACGAAACCCTCACTAGAACATAGAGGTCCCTACATTGAAGATCGCATTCTGCAAAGACGCGAACGACGCTTGGCCAGTCCCGGTAAGAAAAGCTAAGGTTTAAGCCCCATCCACACCCATTTCATCCATCATCAAATCAAATATGGCAGTGAATGCGTCTCTAAGTAGATCGAATGGGGCGTGTAATCCCTTCGGGGGGTTGTAAGAGCTTCAAAGTTGGTGTTTTAGTATCGAAAGGTTTCTGCCATGAGACTGTTGCTTCTCTGTGTACTCGTCTGTTGGCTCTTTTCCCACACCGAGAACAGAAGGAACTGTAAGACTATATAGTAGCACACCATTTCGTAGCCGAATCGCTTACTCAATTTATTCAGATGGTCGGAATCTGGCCTGCTTGACACACAACTTGTACAAGCACGAGAGTTCCTGTCCCGGGCCGCGGCGCATCTTCTATGCCTTCCATCGCATCATCTTCAATTGCACGAAGGTGTTCACCAAATGCCCCAAGATCCACAGGCACAACGAGTACACCACCCTGAAGCGCTGCCAGGATGACTGCTACTTTCATATGATAATCCCGACCACACCGAAGCCAGCCAATAGCTCGGGCAATGGCACCACTAATGGCACCACCGATGGCGCCGCTGGAGGGGGCGCAAACGCAGGAGCTGCCACTGGGGATGGGAAGAAGGATGAGAAGGATGAGAAGAAGGATGAGAAGAAGGATGAGAAGAAGGATGAGAAGAAGGATGAGAAGAAGGATGAGAAGAAGGATGAGAAAAAGTCCGACTTTGATGCAGAAGCCCTTATGCGTGCGAATCCCTACAAATTTGTGGGTCGCAAGGGTGATGGCAAAAATCAAATGAAAACCCAGTCACGTGTCCAAAGTAACGTAGCTGAAAGGCGTAGAAGAAGGTCTCGACGGTATCATTAGATTTCCACATTAAATGCAATTAAATGGAAATGCAGATCTAATTAGATAGGGCTTTCATCCTTCAGTCATCACTAATCGAAATAGAAACGCCTATTTACACCACTCGCAGTCCTCTACAGTACTTCAGTCGAGTATCTTCAGCGATGTGGTGCCTTCAGACTGTCGCGTTTCTGCTCCTTTTGTGGGGTCACTCGGCCCCTGTTCTCTCCGATCGCTGCCTGGAAGCGAACCAGGGAAAGTCACTGGACTGTACAGGGCTACCGAAGCTCACCTACTACTACGATGCGGTGGGAAAGCAGTGCGTTTCGAAGAGATCCAAGTGCCTTTCTAGCCCCGTGGCGAATATGTTCGACACCAGACAGCTGTGCCTGGCCGAGTGCCAGCATCACATGCTCCGGGACTGAGACGCCTTCGCTTCCCCAGAGACACACACATTCTCTCCACCAGAGACAAACACTCTCTCTTCACTAGGATTAAAACAATGTTTTTTTGGCTTTTAGTGCACAAGATTTGTTTAGAGACATTTTTATTTTGTAATATTCCCGCACAGTACGCAACAATGGGGAATGCACTAGCAACACCGCCAGCACCAAGACTACGACCACCACCACCACAACGACAAAGACCATTGTCAATGGGGTGGAACAGCCAGAGGTCACCACAAAGGTGAATGGACACATTGCACATGCACCCGCCGCACTGAGCAATGGGAGCCATCATGCCACAAAAACGATCACCACGACCACGGAAAAGCAGGTGTTGCACGGCCAGGCAGAGCGTGGCAATGTGAAGGTGACGGCCAGCGGTAAGTCGGATGCCAGTGCCACGAAAGCGGCCAGTGCCAGCACCAGTACGGTGGTGCAGTCGGACGGGGCAATTGTTACCAGCGGCAGATCCTCGCGGATCAGCACCGTCAAGTACGCTGTGGAGGCGAGCAGCGTGCAGGAGAAGATCATCAGGTAACCCACTTACTGTTTGCTGTTGTGTCTGTGTTGTACGTTCTTTTGCAGGCACATCATATCTCAAGATCATCCGACAACTAACCCAGCCATTCCCAACAAAACAAAAAACCACCAGTCAAAAAGAGCCAAGCCATTAACCTGCGGAGCATCCCTCCTCTGTTCCGATCCGTACTAATCCCTATCCCGCCTTTTGCTCCTCGACAGCTCCTAATGTCTACAAGATACCCACCGTCTTGGGCAGCAGCAAGGAGGGTAAGATTCGCTCGGCCCCAGCCTATACGATGGCTGGACGCGAGAAGCCGCCACTAATACCGGCCCTGGTCATGCCCGGACCTGGCTACTACGACGGAGAGTTCACGGCCATCAAGCCCAAGCCGCCGCATTATACGATGCGCGGCAAGTACCAGCTTGAAAGCCACGATGCCAAGCCCGGTCCTGGGGCGCACTGTCCGGAGAAGGTATGTTGAATGGGGGCTGGGATAGGGTGGGGTATGATTAGAATACGAATTAAGTACGGCCTCCTGACCTGCCCACAGTATTATGAGAAGCGTTCGTCTCCAGCCATATCCTTTGGCATTGCGCACTCGCCCTTCGCTGGAACCCAGAAATCCGCTATGATCCCCGATCGTTACGTCCAATGTCTGCTGGCGAACAGACCAGACAAGGACTATCCCTAGACCTTACTTGACCAAATTTCTTATTAAATATATTTTAATCACGAACGCCGGTTTCTGCTTCGGTTTCCTCCATATATATCCACAGATCAACCTCTCCCATGTTCCCGCCTACAGTTTTGGCATCAAACACTCGCAGTATCTGGGCCGATTGAACGAAAAGAATACCGACTATGACTACAGCTTCTCGGGAATCTGTTAGAGCCAGTCCCAGTTCCAAGCTCAATCCCAATCCTCGCTATGCTCAAGATGGTCTTCGAATAAGAAAAGATAAAGAAAACAGCTTCCCTACCATACAATTACTACCTTTGCTACTCATACGCGTCCGTCGTATCAGACTAACCTAAGTTTTAGCGTGTTTCTGATTGAACCTAATTGTAAGTCGAAAGTGTTGTGGAATGTTGCAATTATACTTAAGTATATAAAGGGATATTACTAATAGATCGGCCCTGCCTTACTGTTTCTACTTGTGGGGGGAACCATTTTACGCTCTTTCCATAACTAATGGGGCATACGATATAACTACGAAAGATTTGCACTATAAGCAAACAGTATCGGAATGAGGCTTTGGCTGTTCAGTGTAATTGCAATTGCCTTCTGCTGGATGACGGGCCAGACCGCGAAGAAGCATTGTAAGAGTTTACCATCCTATACCCTAGATAGAAATCCTATATTTACTTGATTGAATCTCCATTTAGTTGGCTTGGAAGACGGCTGCGTGAAGAAGAACATGTATATGCACGAGAGCGCCTGCCCGGGCCCATATCGCATCTACTTTGCCTTCCATCGCGTAATCTTCGACTGCATAAAAGTCCGTACGAAGTGCCCCCGTATATACAAATACAACGAGTATAATACCCTAAAGGAGTGCCAAACGGACTGCGCCTTGCTTATGGTGCCGGTGATTAAGAATGATGATGTAACTGAATCTGAACCTGAAACTAAAAAACCCGAAGACAACGGCGACCCATGAATGACTCAGAGAAAGAGAATGAAACGGAAACGCCAACATAGCACAATCCAACTGTAATTGTGCTGCTACTTAGGATAAGTTAGGGATAAACTATAGCCTTTCCATAACTACAAATTCGTGTTACTTTCGATAGATAACATCGCCAGGTGTGAACTCAATTCGTATAAATATGTGTATGTGTCAGAGCCATGCTTAACCCGGCAATCAATTCGAATTGGTATTCGATTCGGTTGGTCAGTTAGAATCAGCGTCTCAGTTTTCTCATTACATCGAGTCATTCAACCACAACTGAACGTAATTTGTACTGTTTGGGATCCCAAAATTTCGATTTTTCTTTCTCGCTCACTCTTCATTTAATTTTTTGGTAGATATTTATGAGGCCTTCTTGTAACTAGAATATGACTTCCTCATATTTATGGCCATTTTCGGGGCATAAGTCTGATGACTGTCCGATGTCATCGATGACATTGTCGTGAGTTATACCAATATATAAGCGTTAGATGTAAGGGTGTGTTTTTGGTGCTCCTCAATACCAATTTTATTGCATTCATATTTACAACTATACAATTTGCAAGACTCATATTATAAACATAAACTACAATCCGGGTTTTGCCCTCCCTCTAGTTTTTGGTAAGTTCGATCTCGGCATGGAAGCAAGACTTGCCCTGGGAAGAAACAAACAGGAATGAGCATGGTATAATTCTATGGTAAAGCAGTTGGGAAAAACTCACTGTATCGTGTTTGATCTCCGAATCGATGATCAGGTGGCCTCGGGCCATTCCCAGCATGGCCTTATACTTGGACAAATCGACTGTGTGCTCGTTGGCGCAGACCTTCTCCTCGGCCACGGGGCAAGAGGCCGGGGCACCGAACAGCTTCAGAATGTCCTTTGCCTCTGATGGGGCCTGGTCCATGGCGAGGCAGAGATCCACCTTACCCTCCTTCATCACGATGCCGTCCTTCTGAACCTTAAACTTGGCCATAGCCGTGCCGAAGGGCTTATTGATGATACAGCCGGAGGGCACCAGCTCGCATTTTTTGTTCAGCTTGAGGCTGAAGTCACTGCCAACCGTCATGACGGCATCATCGCCGGCACAGTTCTCCATCTTGACCAGTTTGGCTTTGTAGCCATTCTGCAAGGACATAGAAGGGTTGCGTTAGGTTAGTCCTGGAGTCTCGTCTCTTCCAAAATGGAGGGCTACTTACACAGGCCAAGGCCGCCTCAAAGGCCACAGAGCAGATCAGGAGAAGGGTAAACGTTCGCAGCATTCTGGATTGTTAGAGTGTCCAACGATTTTGGGCAACACAGGATGGACGTACGGCTATTTATATGGAAATGTGTAATTATTTGCGCATTAAGCGGTACTTGACTATTGCGATCGCTGATCGTTCGGCTCAATTGATCGCCGTCCACCCACTGACTAGCCAGACAGTCGGCCAATAGAAATTAGACTCTGCTCTAAATATCAGAGTTATTATGGCCAGCCATTTTTAATTGCTCCGCGACATGGCTTAGCATGTAGCTGGGGCACTGATCTCTTGATTGCTCGACTGTGTTTACACCCAAACCAAACTATAAGAGACGAGTCATCATGAAGTTCATCTGTTTAATTGATAAGCCTCCCCCCCATACACTCTACATGCACGATTATTGTTTCCAACCGATTTGTTTGCAATTTAATTAGTATAATAGTCGGATACACAAATGATGTGTGGTTCCCATTTCTTAAATGCAAAGTAACCTCGTTGATGGCATGCAATCGACTATAACAGTAGCAGTCGTTACAAGTATTCAAATTCAAGTTTGAAGGGCACTCTGTCCGAAACTGGTTGTTATAAAACGACACCCTCTCAGAAATATCAGCTTATAGCCTTGTGACATTAGACTTTGCTAACTCTGCTGCGAATAGATAAAACTAGAACAAAAGTAGTGTTTTTAGCCGTAAAGCATAAATATAGATTTATATTCCAATATTTTTAACATATTTTGATTGAATTGATTGATTTTTTTAGATTTATAACTTTCAGGGAATCCATCCATTCTTTCATCGACACGACATCTACATGTCATGTATGAAATGTAATAATCACGTAAAGAGGAGTTTGACTTCCGATCATGGACAGAGAACAATTAACTCATATTCGTAAAGTATGTATTAATAATATTCCCCACGAATTTTAGCGCAGTCTATGTGAAAGATATCGTGGTCTAGCCTAACGCTAAGATACAGAATAGGATGGACCTAAAAGTGTAACAATTATTTTTATTATTAGTATTCTATCCGCAATCTATCTTGGGGGTTCAAATGGACTAAGTTTGTTGTTTCATCGGTATATTTTCAGTATTTCTGAGGGACAGACGATCACACTGCTGATATTTTGTCAATTTCATCAATCCATTAAGTTTCATTTATAACGTTATATAGAAATCCAATAAAAGCAAGTATTTCGAATAGGCCAATCATGTATAGAATTGATTTATCAATCGTACAAAATTGAGTGGGCATGGCTAAATGTTCTATTTAGCTAGAAATATTCGACGGAATATCAAAAACGAGGAATATGTATAGTAGAACATCAAATCGTCAGTATATTTACGGTATATTTTGAAAATGAGGCGGTATGTTTCGGTATATTTCTGAGGTCACACTGACACACGGTCACACTGCTATCGATAAGCCCGCTCACTTTTTCTGGCCGCCGACAAAAAACAACGGAACGAACGTTAGTCGCGAATTTTAATCTGAAACCGAAAAGTCCGTTGGTAAAAGAATACAATTCAAAAATATATTTTATTTAAAAATTAGTGAAACACTAAAATAAAGTATCAATATTCGATATAATTCATATATAATTCTGAAAAAAAAACAAGTCGCGCTTCGAACGGGGAATTAAGGTGCGCGCTCTAAACTTGCAAAGCAATACGTATACGTTTAGGTACGGTATTTATATGGTGATCTGATCTGAGCCAGAAACAGACTGTTCAAATTTTGTCGACGACGCAGTTTATTTAATAATTATTTGTTATTGAAACTCTTCCCCCACGCAAGAAGGTTGGAAGACTTCATTCAACACAAATTGAAAACGTAAGCCGTAATACGAGTATAAGTCAAAAATGTGGTGCCCTAGAGGTTGGTTGTTGGCGGGCGAGGAAAACAAGTGATGCATCAAAAGGTGCTAAATAAATGAGCCGCCTTAAAAAACACACAAAAACAAATATAGTTAGATATCTTTGGATTCTTACGTGCGAGTGCGACAGAGTGAGAGCGATGCAGTGAACAGAACACCTATACAAAAGCAAAGACAATAAAATATCAATGTGTCTACAGGTGTGTGGGGTGACAAAGCCCCCAAGAGAGAGGGAGAGCAGAGCTAATGTTCTATGATATTGAAATCTGAAATTCGAGAATGCTGTTCAATCGCAAAATAGTATCTGTGTATTTGTGTATCTCTGTGTGAGCCTGTTTTTTGTGGTTGCGTTGTGTTGCACAATGCAATGACAACGATGGAACCATCCAAAATTTGATTTCAATCGGTTTATAGTGTGTGGTTGCGTGTTCACTATCAGTGACCTTTTTGGGTGTATGCGTGTGTATTATCAAAACCCTGTATTCCATTGATAAGTATTAGAGTTGTTGTGTGTGTATGTGTGTGTGTGTAGTGGTGCGTGAATACGTCAACGGCATTCCGTTTCTGTCGAGAGAGCAAACACGGTCACCCCAACCCCATCACCAGCCCCAAAGCCCCCCAGGTATCCAAGCTCTGCTCTGTCACGGCTCTTCGATTATGATTCATCGCTGGCCGTGATTACCGGTGAATACTCGTTGTTGTTGCGGTTAACTGTAGACTTCGTAAGATTGTGAATATGTGAATGTAAATATCTTCCACAATTTATTACTCTATGTATTAATCATCGGCCGGATATTTGGACAACTTCTAGCATCTTCCGCAACTCTCAAATGTTGGCTTTCTGTTGGCGGTTTTGAAACAACCGAAAAAGTTCACATTTCTTTTGTTTTCTTCAGGCCAACCACTTGCTTTACCCTTTACGGAGGGTATGATGGTTTCTTAGTAGAATTTGGACCTAAGATTAGCAGTCGATAAAGCCTTTAACATTCGTTTGTATGCCAATCAGTTACTAAATCTACGATCCATCAGGCTGAAACCATTCTTTTTCACTTAATATCAGAATAATATATTAAAAAACTTCCAACCAAAGTTGTTTCGAAACCGTAGCTTCTACAAAAACAATAGATCTCCCAAGAGTATCAAATACTTCGTCCATCAAAGGCCAGCCCTCCCCTTCTTTCTTGATTCGGATGAAACAACTTTCTTAAACCGGTTCTTCAGTTTCTTGACCAACAAAATGTTGATATAAACAACGAAACAAAACGAAAGAAAACGAATGCGGACTGAAAGAATGGAGCAAAATTAATTTCCATTACAAAACGTGACTCAGGGATTGCCTCCTACATCTCCATCTCCATCTCCATCTCCATCACCATTTGTATGAGTATCTCTCTACAAAAGTTCTGATCTGATTGAATCAAAGGCACATAACTCTTTTGCCTCCAATTTGGGTCACTGCAATTGCTGGTCTGGACCCAATTTGTTTATTGAATGCAGCAGACCTCCAACAGCCAACGGCCCAACCCAACCCACTCTGCTGCAGCCTCCGATCGCCATCGGTTGCTCTATTTATCGTAACGTATGGGTTGGACTTCCAACGGCTGCCAGGCTGCTAATTGTAGCTGCTCCGTTCCGTCAATCACTGCTGGAAAACGGAAAATGTGAGTGGAAAATTGAGAATGGCAGGAGTCATATCAAGTCATAAAGCTGCCCCTCTAATGGGGGGGCACGGGCACGGCGACCAGGAAATGCATGCCTGGCCAATGGACTGCATAAACATTTACTGGGAATTCCCAGCCCCGCCTCCCCGCCAACATGCATTCGCTATGCAAAAAAACATTCCATTCCAGCCGCACAACTGTTGTGTTGTGATAACCCAAGGAAAATCAATAGGAAAAGCCAGCGATTCTTGGAAATGGTTGTGCCTTCCCCTCCCCGTTGGCCAGCTCTTTTTCACACCTTTCCCATTTTGCACAACATGGCACATTAATCAGGCACGGTTTATGGCTCGACCATCCATGGATACGAGCTCTTGCAAGTTGCAACATGGTCATGCCACACTGGCACCGGGACCGTGGACCGGGGACCCCGTCTCGGCTACGTGTCAAATATAAGCCAGAGCTGAGAAAGAGGAGGAGCGAGCTCTATTACGAATAAATTACCTTGTCTACTGGGATGGCTAAAACGACTTTAGATAGGGGCTTCGCACGAGATCCAGCTTATGCCCTGGATGAGCTCTTCCTGCCAGTGGAGGAGCTCTTCCTGCCCCTGGATAAGCTCTTCCTGGTGTAGTATAAAGTGGATAAATGCTTGGCCATAAATTGGACATCCACAAGATATCATCTACACGGGAGAAAAGCTACAACAAGAGCTTCAAATCATAAGGAAAATATCTCATATGATAGTTTTCTATATGTTTTGTTAAAAGTTTCATTTCATAGATATGGAACATGCGTATTTGAATTTCTAATGGATATATGTATTAGGTGGGGTTTTATTGCCCCCCAGGAAGCATATCTTTGCCTATAAAGAATATAAATATATTCTTAAGTATATGTGTTCCCATAAAAACTTATATGAGGGCGTAGATGTGCCAATGATCCAAGTCTGAATTTTACGGGCAGTTCCACCTCCCGCGAGGCGCTTCCACATGACGCTCGTCTCCTGAAACTCTGAACAGAACCTTTATATTTCTGCATGCATTATATAAATCAGATCTATAGACAAAAGATACAATTCTATGATGGAAGTCGTTTCTTTTTTTAAGAAAATTCAACCATTCCTTCGATGGAAACGGAGGATCTGCATTTTCCTTTTGTACATTTTTCGCAGTGCACATAATTGAATTTAGCAATTACCTTTAGCCATACATAATTCAGATCTACCCCAACGAAAGTCTTCACAACTCTGGCTTTAAGTTCTAAACGTTCCATTTGCCATTGTGTTTGTTTGTTGTTGCGGTCGGAGACCGAACATTCTATGAATGGACACGAGTGTGGAGTGGACTGGGGAGTGGGGTCTCTATATCCGCTGGTGCTGTCTGCTGCTGTCATTGCCGTTCCATGTCCCCCTCCGAACCAACATAAATAATAAATGGACAACGACAACAAAATATTTTTGGCCAGGCCAGTGGGGCGTAAGCGCTTAACCATTCGCCGGGCCATAAATCTCAACAAAAGGCAGCAGAACAGCCGACAAGGCACTCCAGCTTTCACCTGGTGCCAGCGAGGACAGAGAACCCTAGAAGAGGAGCCTCATTTGCAGCAATCCATTCATTATGGTGTTTTTGTTTGCATCCTAGTTGGCGAAGCCAGTTAACCAGATTTGTAGAAAGTTTGCCGGCGTCATAAGTTCCTTCAAGTGCAATAAAGAACGAGTGCAATCTTGGGAGAAATGAAAAAATTTAATCTCACTTCCGTTGGGAATAAAACAAGGGCAGGGGCAGCCTCTGCATCGATTCAAACAATTCCACGAGAAATGCAGTAAAGTAAACATTAAAATTGAGTAATATTTTTTTTGCCCATCCATTGAGTGCACTGCAATTTCAGGTCAAGGCAAGCCTTCGATCCGAGAATTGTTATTATTTATTTGTTTTTATTAATCGTGCGAATACCCCAAAACAAACAAATTAAACACTTGTCGGCTATTAAATCTATATAACATTTTCCCATTTGTTTCGATACGTTTGCGTTGTGTTTGCGATTGCTTTTAGTGGCAGCTGCCGCAACTACTTGTTGTCGTCTAGTGGGCAGGGTGCCAACAATTCAATTTCCCTGCCACAAAGCGGGACAAATACCACACACGGATAACAAGCCAAAGAAATCATATATCATAAAAGAGATATGTATATATTTTAATGAACATAAAAACAAATAAATACGAGTATGTATAGTTTTAAGTGGACAAAAGGGGGTGGTTAAAGATCTAGAGGGAGGGGATTATAGATTTATTTTGCGGAAATATATAGTACATACAATAGTTCTACCAATCATAAAAGGAGTCCACATCTACTGGCATATTCCCTTTCTGATCAGAGGATATAATGTTGCACGATTTCTAAGGATATTTATTTACCGACCCTGACCCATTCTCGGAGCATTGGAAGCAATAGAAGCCAGGATGTGTGATGTATTGCTCCACTAATTGCCCTTACCATAGCACTACTTTCTGTGGATACAAGATTGGCCTGCAATATTTCAGCTTTAAAACAAAGAATGAAGATACAGAACATGGTAATCCAGAAATGATTTAGATTTCCTTCTCTGTGCCCTAAAACACTGCAGTTGGATAATATTGCTCATGCCTAGTGGCCACATCTAGTTCGTACAAGGTTTCGCTTACACTTTGGGGGTTTCTTAGAGGCTGCTGACTTGCACAATCTCCGACACAGCCATAAAACTACAAAAAGTTTCCCAAATGACTCATCCAAAAGATACATTACCTCTGACGCTATTGCTGCTGCTGCTGGAGGCATTTACTCTCTTAATTTCACTTTTATTTCCCCCCAAATTGGCGACTTTCTTTGCGGGTTATGTAAATGCAAACGCTGCCAAAAAAAAACACATTTTAATTATAATTTCTACCGCTTCTAGTTTGGATTTCTTTTCCGTGGAAGGTTCGTATCTGTTTCCCGGCCAAATGGGACGTAAGCCCCTGTAAAGATAAGAAATTGCAAAACACATGATTAAACAGGCTGATAAGGTAGGTGTCTGTGCCCGCCTGCTGGCAGTAGTATCTTTTAGATACAGATGCCCGCATTTGAACAACATCTTGCATACGATTATATGGTGGGTCTTTATCTTTCAACG